TATATATAAATATATATATATATGTATAGATATATATATATATTTATATATATATATATTAAACAATATATACTAGTAGATATATATATATATATATACATATATAAATAAAATAAAAAATAAATTTTTATTGGTTTTTTGTAACACCCCATCCATTTACTAAGGGGAGTCGATTTTTAAGAACCAAACCTAATTCATTAAATCCGGTTTTGGATATATTCCCAATATTATTTTCTAGCCTTTTTTTTCGAGACATTTAAATTTATTTATTTTGCGAAGGCGCCAAGTTGATAGCTCTATCAAGTTGATAGCTCTATTGGTTCATGAGATATGTATCGATGAATGAACACGATTGTGCACTTTTCGACCATGCCAAATCTTGGATATCCGGGTCGCGTATTAACATTTCGAACCTTCTAAGGGTTCCCATATATAATAAATATAAGTAATACTACTGTAAAACCCATTATTATGGTATAGAAGGCTTATTATACTTGCTCAAAATCACCATTCAAGTGCATGCATGTCAATCAATGACATCCATTTGGTGTGCGTATTCGAATACATGGCTTCGTTATGTCTTTTAGACCTCCTTTATACTCACATAACCACAATTAAACCGTAATAATGTGCTTTTAATCGTATGTGGATGAATATTTAGTAAATTTTGACAAAAAGTTCAGGAAATGAGATTCATCGTGCAATCGACGGTATTGCACATCAAATGCCGTGAATACACTTTTTCTCGATTTTAGCAGCTGTAGCTTGCATTATGGATATAAGAACGCATATACGATATTATTTGGAAAAAAATTGTACGTGACAACATTGAAACTTTACTAATTATTTTATTAAGACCCAATAATCGCGTTTTGAAGGATTCCGATGTAGTGTTAAACTCCTACGCATAGGTGTTCTACTTGTACTGCGACTTTGGCGCCTTCGCAGATCATTTTCAAAATACTTAATCTTGAAATAAGCCAAAAAATAGATAAATAAATTACAGATTTAGCTAGTCAGGAACGGTTCTTAATTTTCGGCCCGATTTAATCCCCTTAGTATATGAATGGGGTGTTAAATAGTATAAACTTTGATTTCAGAAGGCTTCAGAAAAACACGTGTTGTTTTAGATAAAGGTTACCCTGTTTTAGGGTTTGAGTGTAAAGGTCAAATCATAGCCTCCCCTAATTTAAAAAATGAATGACAGTCAAATCATATGTCTATGAGTCATAGCCACTCAATAACTACAGTCAAACGTAGCCTTCTTCAGTTGAAATGTATATTGGTTTAGAGGGCTGTTGAAGCAAGTCAAATCCTTTTTTTTGGGGGTGGGGGGCTGAATATTTTTGAGGTCTATGCTCGCTCTGCAGTCCGCACAAGGGGGAGAGAGATGATTCAGGCCAGAGGGTCCTAATCTTAGACGTCTCTTCTTTAAGTTAATTTTACATTATACTTAACAGCACAAGGGAGCTTTTAAGTTAAGAAGGCTGTGTAAACAGATGGTCATATATCTATATAGTGTTCTAAGGTAACGATACTTGCATTGGGACTAAACCTGTTATTTATAAATTGTTCTGCTCACAGGTAGTATACGTTTGAAAATGTCACATACGGCCAAAGCAGGCTCTTTCGAATCGCTGAACCCTCATATCAGCGATGCTACGCTAGACATTGTGCATGCCCTGGGCTTTGAGCGCATGTCGCCTGTGCAAGCGGCCGTTATACCACTTTTTACTACGAATAAGGTAATGATACTTCTGTCAGTTCTAAACAAATGGAATGTACTGCCCAGCTGAATGATGGCAGTTACACTCACATAGTTCACTGGACGTGACTGTCTCAAAAGACAATACCTCGTGATGTTGTGCACAAAATTGACAAGACGAAATACTTTCCTTATAGGATGTCATTGTGGAAGCAGTAACGGGCTCAGGCAAAACTCTGGCATTTGTGATTCCCATAATCGAGATCATTAAGAAACGCGCTCAACCTCTGCAAAAACATGACGTTGGAGCTTTGATCATTCTCCCCACGAGAGAGTTGGCGACACAGGTAAGTTGCTACTTGTCTCGCGACATTACCATAATCATACGTACTTATCTGTGAGATAAGTCGCAGTACGCCCTATTCTACACTTTTTTGAGCAGTATTTTGACATTATTTCTGCTACGCTGTTAAATTGGCCATTTAAATATTATCATTCGCCCATTTTTAACTATACATGGGTACATATATATGAGTGCATCTGCGAAACATGAACATGTAGGTATGTTGAAATTTTTACCTTGAAATAGCCTATAAGACCAACGGAATGCGTATTAAAAATACAGTCCGTATATGCGCCTATATTTTGTATATATATGTATACGTGTGTATACATATTTACACACACACACACACACACACACATATATATATATATGTATGTATGTATGTATGTATGTAT